TTCGAAGAGACTGAGATAGATAGATAGATAGATAGATAGATAGATAGATTCGAAGAGACTGAGATAGATAGATAGATAGATAGATAGATAGATAGATAGATAGATAGATTCGAAGAGACTGAGATAGATAGATAGATAGATAGATAGATAGATAGATTCGAAGAGACTGAGATAGATAGATAGATAGATAGATAGATAGATAGATTCGAAGAGACTGAGATAGATAGATAGATAGATAGATAGATAGATAGATAGATAGATAGATAGATTCGAAGAGACTGAGATAGATAGATAGATAGATAGATTTTATTTCTAAAGAATGTTTTGATTTTTAATCCGACATTCTTATTGCATCAACCGTTAGTATGGTTGATTCTTCGTATTTTAAAAAGACGCTCCATTTAAATTCATTAAACAATGTGTATTACTCTATCGGACAGCGCATTCAAGAAATCCTAGTAAGCAATATGTGTTCCCTGGCCAGGATCGAATCTGCGACACTTCCTTTATGGAGAAAACCACTGTTTGCTTCAGTGTACTTGACTGCTATTTACAGGGAAAAGTAACTCTCCCTATTTTATGTATGTGTGGCCAGCCAGGAGTTCTGACTTAACACACTCTACCATTTTTTTTTTTTTTTGGCGGTTGGATAAACCAAGTCTTTGGAAGAAATAGAAGGGAGAATACAAGAGGTCATGTCTTCTATCGGACAAAAGTTCCTGGTGAAATCGTGTTGACGCGATCGCTGGGCGGCTCGAGAAGCTGATAGCGAGATTTGGTACACACATCGAATTTTGATTAAAACCTCATGCTAAAGGCTTTTCTTTCATATCCATTTCTTGTACAAATTATATTCAATAAATAAATTATAAGTATTTTATAATGGGGAGTTACTTTTCAATCACCCTGTATATATAGAGAGATAGGTATCTATCAACTTTATATATATATATATATATATATATATATATATATATATATATATATTCGACTCTCTCGTCGAATTCGACGTATGAGGGTCAAGCAGATCAGTTCCCAGAAAACCGACAGCCCGCAACAGCACATGAGATTTGATTATAATGGTGATGGTCACGTGCAGGACCATCCACACATTCGAATTCAGAGACCTGGTGCACTAAGTGCCACAAGGTCCCCAAACGAACCTCCGCAGGTTTTGAATTCAGAGTTGTCATTCTCGTAGACCAGTTGCCATCCAAGGCTACAGAACCCAGTCTGTCCTGCTATTTAGCCATAGGTGGAGGGAGAAGAAGTGGAGTCACACCTTTCCCAAGGGTATTAGTACGTAAGTGAATGTAATGGATTCGACTGGAATTCGAACTCGGCTCTCCGATTCTAACACTAATCCACCGAATCTCCTCCTCCACATATATATATATATATATATATATATATATATATATATATATATATATATATATATATATATATATATATATATATATATATATATAGTTTGAGCCATTACGACTTAGTAGTAGTGAGTTCGATCCTCATTCGGTACCCCATACTTTCGGCCTTGTGTCACGCTTAGAAAATCAACCTTGGGCACTTCGAGGCGGTTTAATGGTTTCTCTATACCCATTACGACTGAGTAGTGAGTTTGATCCTCACCGGGTGCCCCATTGTTTGGGCCTTGTGCTACATGTAAGCTACGCTTAGAAAATTATTTCAGGGCACCTCGAGGCGGTGTAATGGTTAGCAAGCTTGTCTCGCTAGAACAGTTACGACTGAGTAGTAAGTTCGATCCTCACTGAGTGCCACATCTAAGCTACTCTTGGAAAATCACAATATCTAGTGGCTTTTCTTCCTGTTCTTAAGTTTCTCTAAGGGTGTGTCTTCTCACCAGACTTATTCAACTTGTAAAGGTAGGCAATACTGAGAAAATTAGAGGTCCTAACAGGATTCATTATTTGCGGACACAGTCTTAACATAAGATGACACAGTATTGTTAGCAAACACGGAATGAAAACGACAAAAGTTCCTACAGATGATTATGAAACACATCGAGGAGAAAGGATTAAACATTAACTTCAAGAAGACAGAATGCAAAACGATGATCCCAAAATGCAAAATAAAAATTGCAGGTATCAAAATATCTGAGAAGTGTACTAACAGAAGACTGAAAGTGAGGTACTGATATCCGAAGAGACATTGCGATAACCAAAGATACATTCTAAAAGTTAACCTGATTATTAAGAAATGTAAATCTCCGTTAGAAACAAAGAAGAGTACTTGCATTATTTACATTACTCGGACCGTTATCCCCATCTTCATTACCATATTCACAACGTTTCGGCCATTGTAGGTTCCAGTCTTCTTCAGATGTTTGGAATTTCGAAACGAACCCTTTATTTCGTCCACTGGGGTAGATTGTTCTAGTTTCACGACTTTTCCAATTTCAATCACCAGCAGAATACCGGAGCGTACAACGGCCGAAACGTTGTGGAGATGACAATGAAGATGATGACAACAGTCCGAATAATGTAAATAATCATAATACCTCATTTCAGAGATATAGCCAGTTAGTCAGTTATGTGCTATGCGTGATACACAATCCAGGTTTTTTTCCTGAAGCAGGTTGCCATTCCTTTCTGCGGTAGACCAGTGGCCATCTAAGGCTATAGAACCTGGTCTGTCTCTTGGTGGGGGGGGGGAGAAGAGGATTCATACTCTTTCGCATGGGTATTAGTATGTGAGTGAATGTAATGGATTCGACTGGAATTCGAACTCGGTTCTCCGTTTCCTCAGCTCGAGCTTCTGTCCATTACTCGTGCCTCAACAAAATTTATTACAAATATAGCAACAACATATTAAAGTGCATATAACATCTATATACACGTTGCGATGGGTAAATTGTCGCCATATCATATTTATTTGAAATCTCTTCACATTAGTCAGTTATTAGTGAGTTATGTGCCATGCGTGATACATGCTGAGGCGATCATGTATCTTTCGCTACATGACTGAAGAGGTAGATTTTTTCCCGCAGTAGGTTGCCATTTGTTTCTGCGGTAGACTAGTTGTCATCCAAGGCTATAGAACCCGGTCTGTCTCGAGGGGGTGGGGTGGAAAAGAAGAATGTAAGTGATTGTAATGGATTCGACTGGAATTCGAACTCGGCTCTCCGTTTCATCAATCCAAGCTGCTATCCCATTACTCCACCGTGCCTCAGAGATATAGACAGATAAAGAAAAAAGTATTGAACTGTTACGTGATATCTGTCTAATTGAATGGCAACGAATACTGGACAATTTCCTAAAAGATGAAGAGGAAAATTGAAGCAACAGAAATGTGGTTCTACAGAAAGATGCTGAGGATAGCATGAATCGAACATGTGAGTAGCGACAAGGTTTTAGAGAACAATGGAAACAAAAAGGAAACATGCTTCAGAGATTTTTTAAATTTCTGGGGCACATAAATGAGGATGGAAGGCCTGGAAAATTTGTTACTCAAGCGGCGGATTTAGAGCAAAAGGAACAGTGGAAAACACCGCATAATATATTTGACGTACTTAAGAAAATGGATGATCGGACAATATTTAGAAATAACGAAAAAACAGAATTATTTAGAGCTGCAAAGGAAAAGAAATTGTGAAGAGCCATGACTGTCTACGTCTTTCTGCTAATCCATTATTATTTCATATTAATTTACAGAATAAAGAGGCGATTTTTAATTTACAGTACTGGGTAATGTATAAAAATTAGAAATTATTGCAAATATAAATAGTGTAAAAAAAGAAGTCAATAATATTAAAATGAAATTAAAATGCTAATCAAAATTGAATAATGTTGACAACGCTTTATTTAATAAATTTTTTAGATAGTATTACTACTAATAATACTACTAATGTAAAAAAAATCAAGATGAAAGAAATATTGGTAAAAGTTAATGGCAGACAATCCTTCCTTTAAATTAACACACAAGATAATATAACTGCTAGTTTAAAGTTTTAGTGCTATTAGTTTAAATTAAGCAATTAAATTTCCTATTAATTAAATACTAGTCACGAATTTGTAACGGGTCACAGGGTGGGAGTTGTGGAGTAACGGCTAACGGTTCGGAACGAGGAATCGGAGATCCGAGTCGGGTCACGCGCAGATACCCTTGAGAAACGTATGACCCCATCTCTTATCTCCACCACTGTGGGTTGAATAGCGAGGAAGACTGGTGGCAAACAGTCTTCCACAAAAAGAAACGGAAATCTATTTCAGGAGAATCTTTGCCTAGTCAATCATAGATCGAAGGGGACATGATCGCCCATAACACATGGCACTTACGAAACTGACTTGCTATGATTTCTTGTGAAAAATAATGGTTTGATTAAATATCATGATGATGATCAGACCATAGTTACAGCTTTGTCGTGTAATTGATATCAGCTCGGAATTCAATTTCGGAGATCCGAGTTCGAATTCCACTTGGGTCCGTTGCATTCACTTTCGCGCTAATACCGAACATTAGGTTGAATATCATGACAGATTTTGTCCTATAGCCTTGGGTCGCAACCAGCCTACCGCAGGAATACTCGGCAATCGACTGCGGGAAAATTGTCTGCCTAGTCAAGCATGAATCGAATAAAACATGATCGTCCAAGTGTGTATCACGCTTAGCTGGGGGGGTGTTAGAGTTGGTGAAGCAAAATAATCTAGATCGTCTGAACTAAATGAGTGACAATATCCCACCGAAACGAAATTCAAGATTATGCTACAGATATTTTTTTTATCATTTCTCCCCAATCAAGGCGATAATGCCACTAAGACGCAAGGAGGTTAATGAGAGTGAAAGAAGATTTGAAAACTTTAGTGAGGAGAAAAGATTTAAGGAGGCAGAAGATGGCGAATTTAAACTTTTAATGTTCATAAGTGGCAGGGAAGAAAGACGCCAGGTGTTCCACAAGCTAGAAGTGCCAAAAAAGGATGTCATTAGAATTTCAACAGTAAAACAATGGGACCTAGTTGCCAATCTAGTCCTACGACTTACATCCATATCACGTTGAAACATCGATTCTCGATCACCGAAGTTAAGCAACGTTGAGTCTGTTTAGTACTTAAATGGGTGACCGCTTGGGAATACCAGGTGATGTAAGCTTAGAACTGTGGTGTAATGGATAATGACTCGGGATTATTACACGGAGATCCGAGGTTCAATTCCACGTGGGAATGTTTATGGTTAACCCTAGACTTGAACGGGTTAGGACTGGGTTAAATTTTCGGGTAAGCATTCTCTTGGGCGTCGATTTCAGAAGGTAGTAATTTGTTGGAAGAAGCTGTTTGAGTGGAACTTACTTCTCACTAATTGAATACAAAAAGAATGAGAGTGGTTCGCCTCAGTGTCTGCTTAGCTGTGAGGGTTAGAAACAAAATAATGTAGCTCGTCTGAACATTTCCCATGGAAATAGCGACAGGGTCACGAGAGGCTTGCAGCGTTTCGGTTGTGAGGAAGGAATTTCAGGCTGGAAAACGGAGATTGGGCAGCTCCTGTCCAGATATCGCAGCTTACAACCATTTTCGGTCAGATCTGCTGCCTATAAAGATAGAACATAACAGAAAGAAATGGCTGGTACTTACATTTTTGCAGATTCATTAGCGATGGATCTTACATATGTGTTTCTTTTGAGGCTTGGGGTGAGCTTAATTACATTAAAGGTTCTTTGCGAGAACAATCGTTAATTGCGATAGACCAACCTTTATAATTCTGTTAGATAGAGGAAATCGGCAAACTAGGCACTACCGCCCAACGGTGGGTATTTAATTGGCGGTAGTGGACGTTCGTCCTTTTTTTGGCGGTGGATGGGTGTCTGACTTGACACCAATAATTCTTTTTTCCAGAAATAGCCATCATTAGATCAGCAATAGGAACTGACCATTACGCTGTAATTACCGTTCGCTGGTTTTTGTTGACCATGTTTGCCGTAGTCTCTGAATATGGAATCCAGTGAAGTCCGTAATCTCTTCAATATCGGAGGTTGGCAGTGTAGATTCGAAGAAAGTAGCGGCAGTTAATTCTTTAAGTCTTCGATATCAGGTTGGCATTGAAAATATTTTGGGAGAAAAAACAAAATGGCTGCCTTTATACACGTCGCATTGAATATTTTGAGCTTTCTGATTGGTTAACCCTTCTATTGGTGAGCTATAAAATGAGTCAGCTCATTTTAACTGGCTCACTAGTGCATAAATACCAAAAAAACTGTAAAAGTTTTAACGGAGCAGGGCGGAGGTGGGACAAATGTCGGTGCCGAATCGTTAAATTAATTTATAGTGAGCTCGAATTTCTTCAGATTTTGAAAGATACAAAATTTAAAATTTTCTATGTAGCAGATTTTTTTCCAGATATTTAACGATATGAATTTACGACGTCAGTGAAAGAATTCTACCGTTAAATGCATCATGTTTATTGAGAAAACGCAACTTTATCGTCGCCATGTCACACGCAAAGATTTTAATTGTTTCCCGCAACTGACGGTTGAGGCAAGCACATTTCAGACAACGATTATTCACGCTTGTGCAGGCTTTTGAAATTTGGTTTGGTTTGTTTTACGGCATATCAACCTCAATGGGTTATTTAATGCCGACAAAATTTTTATTGCTGGTAATATTTCTTATCTATCTATCTATCTATCTATCTATCTATCTATCTATCTATCTTTCTCAGTAGATATTGGTTTGGTTTGGTTTATTTTACGGCATATCAACCTCAATCGCTTATTTAATGTCGACAAGATTTTTATTACTGGTAATATTTCCTATCTATCTATCTATCTATCTATCTATCTATCTATCTATCTATCTATCTGTCTGTCTGTCTGTCTGTCTGTCTCAATATATATTGGTTTATTTAACGGCATATCAACCTCAATGGGTTATTTAATGTCGAGAAGATTTTTATTGCTGGTAATAATTCTTATCTATCTATCTATTTTCTGTCTGTCTCAATATATATTGCTTTGGTTTGGTTTGTTTTACGGCATATCGACCTCAATGGGTTATTTAATGTCGACAAGATTTTTATTGCTAGTAATACTTTTTTTATCAAAAATGTATTATTGGTATTATTTTTCCAAACGTTTATTGCTGGTAATATTTTTTTTTCAAAAAAGCACTGCTGGTAATATTTAAAAAAAAAAATCAAATATTAAAACTACATACTTTTATAGTCTTTCGACTACTTTTGGGAGGTTAACTATTTGTCTATAGTTGGGACCCTAACAAGTGCTACCACCCCGGGTCAGGGTGGACCTGGGAACACCAGCAATTAAGAAGTGGTTACATGCTCCTCAAAATCTCCTGATCAAAGGCCTTGCTGTCGGATGTAGTTTATCGTCTTACCCAGGACGAACATGTAGTTTATCGTCTCATCCAGGACGCTTGGAATTTATTTCTGATGACTTGGAATCACGATTAACATAGACGTGCCAGACTAGATCTTTGATCCTTTTGTTATTGATGAAGATCAGGTGACGAATCCTAATTTGTTTGAAGAATTTCTGATGATTCAAAACCTAAATGAAGCTCATATGGCACACAAAGACGATTAACAATTCACGCGGACAGAAATTAATATTGTTACCACGTATCGAAACTTGTGGCCGAAGGTCGAATTTTTATTCCTCACTGTGAGTCTCATATCTTGTGGAAACTACGTTCTCTATAAGTAAATCAATTATTAATGAAATTTTGAAATTACCTGAAATTTTCAAATGTAATGTCAATCGACATCATCTGAAGCATTGATCTTGATCCCCGTCCTCCCCCTTACACTTTTTTTTCAAACGCCCCTCTTTACTCTTGCTCTCACTCTGTGTAATACCTTGCATGAATGTGGCACTCCTGTAAGAATTTTGTTTTGCAACAAGTATTTCTAAACAGAAGGAAAATGTCGAAACAGTTAAATGTAACCGCCTCTTCTACTCCAACAGCTTCTTCTTTCGCACGGTGGAACTCCCTTTCTCCTACTTGCTTCCCTGATAAATATAATCTTCAAATTCTCAAATGTAATGTCAATCGACATCTTCTAAGGCTTTGAACTTGATCCCCGTTCTCCTGTGTAACCCGTTACGTCTTTCATTAACAGACTTTTTTCTCCAAAATCCGACAGTGGGGCTCCCTTCCTCTTACTTGCTTCCCTGATAGATATAATCTTCAAATGTTCAAATGTAATGTCAATCGAAAAGGACATCCAATCGGTTGTGAACTGGGACAGGAATTGGCTGGTCAAATTTAATGCTTCAAAAACAAAAATGCTCTCTGTTAATCACCACAGAGATCCTTCCCTGGCCTCCATTAGAATGTCTGACGCTCAACTTCTCGAGAGCAACTCTCTGCGGCTGCTCGGTCTCACGTTGACTGCTGACCCGAGATGGAACAAATACATTGAGTCAATTGCTTCGTCCACCGTTGACTCCCAGTGCCGCACCAGGACATTTTTCTCCCCGGAATCGATCCTCCAGATCTACAAATCAACAATTCGCCCTTGCATGGAGTATTGCTCCCATATATGGTCTGAAGCCCCTTCTGGTTGCCTCGGGTTTCTTTATAGGCTCCAGAGGCGGATATGCAATATAATTGGCCCTGTTCTGGCATTTCGTCTACAGTCACTTTCTCACAGACGCGCTGTCGCCTCTCTCTGTCTTTTTTACAAATACTTTCATGAGAATTGCTCCGAGGAGCTGCATTCGCTGGTACCCATACTTCATGACTTCAAGCGCCCTACGAGGCTGGCATCCCGGTCTCACCCTTTCACTGTAGTAACTCCTAAATGTAACCGTCTCTTCTACTCCAATAGCTTCATGTCTCGCACCTCTCGCCTGTGGAACTCCATTCCCTATTCCAGTTTCCCTGAGAGCTATAATCTCCAGCTATTCAAGTGTAATGTCAATCGACATCTCCAGTTGCCTTGATCTATCCACTACCCTTCTCCTCATCCTTTCTTCTAACACTCCTATCTGATCTTGCTCTAAATATTCTGTAACTCCTTGCGTCCTAAAAAAAAAAATCATTATCTTCTGAGGCTTTGATCTTGCTCCCTGTCCTATTTATCCTTTCCTCAATCATCTCTCTTTACTCTTGATCTCACTCTTTGTAACCCTGGGCGTCCTAGTGACTCCCCTGCCTTGCTTGAGGTGATATGTTTAAAAACAAAAAGAAATTCCCTTACAGATACATGAACTATACACACATGCACACACACGCATACGAGGGCGCACTCGTACACGCACACACACACATAGGTCCTGATCTGGCATCTCGTCTACAGTCGCTTTCTCACAGACGTGATGTGGCTTCCCTCTGACTTTTCTACAAATATTTTCGTGACAACTGCGCTGATCAGTTACTTTTACTGGTTCCTAAACTGCATGATTTAAGACTGCTACTAGGTTGACATCTCGGATCCACCCTTTCACTGTCGAAACAGTTAAATGTAACCGCCTCTTCTACTCTAACAGCTTCTTCTCTCGCACAGTGGAACACCCTTCCTCCTACGTGCTTCCCTTATAAATATAATCTTCAAATTTTCAAATGTAATGTAAATCACTTTTTCCCAGACTCCATGAATTCAAGCGCCCTACGAGGCTGGCATCCCGCTCCCACCCTTACACTGTAGAAACTTTTAAATGTAGCCGTCTCTTCTACTCTAATAGCTTCATACCTCGCACCTCTCGCCTGTGGAAAACCCTACCCAATTACTGTTTCGCTGAGAGCTATAATCTCCAACTATTCAAATGTGATGTCAATCGACATCTCCTGTTACCTTGATCTACCCACTATCCTTCTCCTCATCCTTTCTTCTATCACTCTTATCAGCTCTCGCTCCAAATCTTCTGCAACCCCCTGCATCCTACTGGCTTCACGCCTTGCCCGGGGAGTAATGCTTAAAAAAAAATCGACATCTTCTGAGGCTTTGATCTTGATCCCTGTCCTCCTCTTTATACTTTCCTCAAACACCCCTCTTTATTCTTGCTCTACCCCCTTGCGTGATAGTGACACTCCTGCCTTGCTTGGTGTGAAATGCTTAAAAAAATATTTTCGCTGAAATATAAATCAAGCTCAGGGAAAACATTGACTAGCATCAGGTTTTTGCTTCTATTTT